TTTTTTATTATAACGTAAACACTTTTTATAAATAATATTTTAATTAATTTCAGAATTTTGCTCTTGCGTTATTATATTATTATATTATATATGTATTAAAATTATAAAACTAAAACTTTTTTATGCGATTATTTTTTATGTAATAATATATTATTTATTATATTTGCTTACAGATGATGAGGATTGGACGCCGATGATCGATATGGATTACAGCGACCACGAAAGCGAGCAAGAGTTTGAGGGCGATGATGAGGAAAACTGAAGAGTAAATGTCTCATACCTCATACGTATTTAAAAAAAAAAACGTAAATAAAAAATTATTTTTGTCAATAAATGCGTTAAATATAATTACATATTTGAATATAATCAATAGCATAATTTAGCGTGAGAGAGAAGCAGCTGATGCCGTAAGATAGGCGCAACGCGCCCGCGCGCATATACGCACCGTTTTATTAATAAAAATCAAGTTATCTGAAACCAAGAAGGCTAAAACTTTGTAAACTTATAGTTATCTGTAACAGTTACACGAAAATAATTATCCGCTGAGGTTTTCGCAGTGAAAAAGTGCTCAGCTGATGCAGTGAAGGATGCCACGCGCCCGCGCGCATAGCGATGCGCCGTATCTTTCAGTCGTCAGCTGAGCACTTTTCCACCGCGAAAAACTCAGCGGACAATTATTTTCGTGAAATTGTTAAAGTTGACTATAACTTCCCCAAATTTCAGCTTTCTTAGTATAAGTTTACTCAGCGCATATTTTTCGCATGTTTGGGCGAGAAGCTGACGTACAACTCCCCACCATGAAGTCAGCTGACTATTATTTTCCGTTTATTTAGATCATAATAAACGTACAAACAAAGTCTCAGCTTTCTTTATGTCGGTTTATTTTTATTATAATTATACGTGTGTGGGTAGATGCCGCGGCAACACCCACCGCTACCATGGAAGCTGACGTTCACTTTGTTTATTAGCAGACCGAATTGAACACTAGCCGAAAATCTCAGATTTCTTAAAATAATTTACTTAAAATGGCAGCTGGCTCCCGGACTATTATAACTGATGACTTATGAACTGACTGACAGCGCGCTAAACGCACTGTCTGCACTGCACTGCGATACTAACGCCGCTAGCCGCCAGTGTCGAAAAAGTGAAAGTGACATTTCTCTGTTATACATATGTTATATTATGTTATGTCGACGTATCTTAACGACGTATCTTAAAAAAAAATTCACATTTGGACTTTGCGTCGCAATATTTCCGCCCGTAGGGCACGTAGCGGAATATTATAAGAGAACCCCCCCCCCCCCCTAATTCGACCCCAAGCTATCGATCAAGCCTACTTAGAACTTGATCCGTTCACTCGTTAATCAAAATCTCAACATCTCGTGTACTCGCAACTCGTCACGTCGCGTAAAAGAGTCACGGTCGGTCTCGCTCCGCGTGTACTTGGCGCGAGACACTGCCGTGTCTCTTGATTTATAATATGATATGATTAATAATATAATATAATTATAATATATAAAACTGTTATCCTTATAATGTATTTTTATAATTTACTTTTTAGGTGGTATTACTTAAACACGGGGTATATTGCAAATTGAAGACGCTCTATAACTCAATTGGAGCATCATGTAGAATTTCTCATCTTGCATGTCGTCTTATGGAAGGAGTCTTCAAACCTGAAGTTCTTTTAAACGCTACACTTATTGGACAAACTGCACGTGCTCAGGGAAAAGAACGCCAAAACCAAAACGTCATTTGTCTGGATAAATTAAGAAAGAATGCAATCATTGGTAATTAAAATATTTGTTATTTTTGTTACTGAATCCTACATTTTTTATTCACTTTATTTTTAATCCATGGGTATTATAATTTTTGACAGATTTTGCCAAATCGCGCGCCAAAAAAAAGGATGGCTTTAAATCAATCCGGGATATCAAAATTTCTATGTCCACAAGACTTGGTGAAATTAAACGACAACACTTGGCAAATGCTCGGCGAGATGATGTGTAACAAATTTTTTTTTTGCTCGGAACCATTTTGTAACACGAATTTTTTTTATTAGTTTTTCGAAAATTTTATTTATATGTATCAGTTTTTGTTTTCATTTTTTAAACAAATATTTTTAATATGATAATAATAATAATTTTAAAACGGGAGTGCAGGAAACATAGCATTATACCTTCTCATATAGGAAACATCTTTGCATATTTTGAAAACACTCTGTTTAACTTCAGAGCAATAGCGAAATTTAAGCATTGTAAATCCAAGTTTTTTAAACAATTATTGCAAATCGAACTTAGGGATGCATACTGTCATGCTCGCTTTGCACGTACGCAGGTTTATAGAGTTTCTGGAGCGATGTATCGGTGTATTCCAGCATCCGTCTGCAACTCCTTCTTTAATAGACAAGAGTGGTCACTGCATTCCTTCTGTGAGAGCTCAAAAAATAAGATAAACAAGAAATTTGAATTTTTATATTTCAAACATATGAACCAACGGAAAAACATTAGACCGATTGAATATTTTTGTAACATGTCATCGGAACACCGGGTCCTTGACAATAATAATGTAACATACTCGTTAGTGCCTTTTTTCAACCGCTCTGGCCAAAAAATTGCAATAAACATAGATCCGAAATCTTTTACCACGCCGATACCTTCCTTAATGCAACTAAATGATGGGTGGTTCGTTAATTTGTCATCCACTGATATCCCTACAGATATTCAAGGTCTTCTACAACTCGGTGAGAATTTTAGCCTTCCGGGATTAAAGAAAGACAAAGTAACGATCGAATTTATTAAAAACATTGAAAATAATATAAAGAAGTTTCCTATTAGAACTCATACAACTCTTAGAAATCGATTCTCGAATATGGTGAATAATCTTCGGGGTTACGAGGTGCAAGAAAGTGCACACGATAACGCGATGAAACATTTGTCGATTGCTACAAAGAATTTTATGGATGATAATTCTAATTTAATCTTAACGAGGGCTGACAAAGGTAACGTCACGGTAGCAATGGACAAAGATAAATATATAGCCAGTATGGAGGAACTCTTAGGAGATACAGATACTTACAAGATTGTCTCTAGAGATCCAATTAGAAAGGTAACAACTCGGGTTCGAGAGCTTTTGACTAGATGGAGGAAATCAGAATTCATCTCAGACTCATTGTACAGATGGCTTTATTGTAGTGACGGAAATTTGCCGAGAGCGTACGGACTCCCGAAGATCCACAAAATTAATTATCCTCTTAGAATCATCGTTTCATGTGTGGATAGCCCGTTGTACAATTTGGCTGCTTTTCTCCATAAAGTCATGTTTAATAGCTTTCCTAAAGGAGATAGTCATGTCTCGAATAGCTTTGACTTGGTCAAAAAGCTATCCGAAACCCATATTAGAGAATACTTTAATGTCTCTTGACGTTATCTCTCTTTTTACTAACGTGCCTACGGAAATGATTATTGACAGCATTGCAAAAAGGTGGAATTATATTTCTGAGAGTTGCTCGATTCCTGAGTCTGAATTTCTCCAGGCAGTAAGATTGGTATTAGAATCGACCTTTTTTGTTTTTAATGGAGTTATATATCAGCAAACCTTCGGTTCTCCTATGGGTTCCCCTTTGTCACCCATAGGGGCGGATATCGTGATGCAAGACCTGGAGGTTAGAGCGCTCGGAAGCTTGAAGTTTGCTCCTTCTTTTTATAAGAGATACGTGGACGATATTGCAATGACAGTGCCTCTTAATGAATGCACTCACGTATTAGAAACATTCAACTCATTTCACCCCAGATTGCAATTTACTATGGAGATCGGTGTGGGTGGCAAATTGAACTTTCTAGAGGTCACCATGTTTCACATAGGCGAGCATTTGCAATTTGACTGGTTCCACAAACCCACTTTTTCCGGAAGATATTTAAATTTCCTATCTCAACATCCACTCTGTCAGAAAAAGGGCACGGTCATCGGTTTGATCGATCGAGTATTTAAGCTGTCGCACCCGAGATTTCATCAAAAAAACATAAGATTTTTAATCCAAATTCTGATAAATAATTGTTATCTGTTGGAATTTATTTTTGGGACGATACATGAGCGCTTGAGATTTTTACTTAATGATAGACACGTTACGAACGATGAGAGCATTGATAAAGTTCCATATTTCACGATACCATATGTTCCTGGGTTGTCTGAGAAATATAAAAATTTAACCAAGGGTCTTAATATAAAGCTCTCGTATTTCAGTCTCAATAAATTGAACAGACTTATCAGAGGTCACAAGGATACTCTCCCTGGATTATCGCATAGGAATGTCGTATATAAAATTAATTGTAATGATTGTGAGGCTTCCTATGTCGGTCAAACAGGGAGACAACTTTTAACGAGAGTTAAAGAACATAACTCGCATATCAGAAGGAGTGGTGCGGGCCATTCGGTCTTAACAGACCACAGATTGCAGTATAACCATGACTTTAACTGGAAAGACGTGGAAATATTAGACCGAGAACCGTCCCTTAGTAAACGCTTAATATCAGAAATGATTTACATAAAAAGGCAAAGAGAAGGTTTAAATTTGCAGACGGATACTGAAGATATACCAGAGATATATATTAGTGCTATCGAGGGACTTGTTAAAGTTTAGAATTATTGTTGTTACGCGGACTTGTTTTATATTATGCGTGACCTTTCCCCCCGCTTCTTTATACCGTCAATATCTTGTATAAGACAAGCGTGCCATTCTCTGTGTGAGCGTCCTCTGAGACACACCGATTCCTGCAATTGATTGACGTGGCGTTGCGACTTGACTATCGTCCAGTATGTCAAACCTGTGAGTTACCTGTTTGATACCATTTTGTTATCTATTTGTTATCTATTGTGTTCCTGTATGAATATTGAGAGAGGACGGCACTCCGAATTTGTCCACAGGCGTTGCGTCACAATGACAAAGACAGTACATCCGTTTGAAAGTTTCCTGGCGCTCCAACCAGGAAACTTCTATGCGACGATTTTCTAGAACGCGTCGGAGTGCACATCTAACTGACCAGCGATGATTTGTTGTTTACGGCGGTAGAATCTGTATGTATGTTTGCGACGATAATTTTTATATGTATGATATACGCTGAGGAGGACCCCAAAGAAGGGTCGAAACGTTCGTTCGTTAATTGACTTCGGTATTTGTGACTGTTGATAATAAAGTTTAGCGTTTTAACGACACGCTTGTGCTCTTATTGCCCGTTTAAGGTCTTTCTTTTACATTACAGAGCCTTACTTAGTTATTAATAATAATTTTATTTAATCCTTGCCTTGCGGCTTAGGATGACTTCCGTCAACCTTTACATAAATTTACAAACGCATAACATAGTTTACAAACATTTCTCATTTACATACATATACATTATATATTACTTAGATCATCCTAACTAACTCCAAAACTAATTCAACCTTCTAACTGTCCTTAAATTTCTCTTCCTACTCTTCTTCCTCCATTTCCTCCCTTTTCTCCGCTTTTTTTCTAACCTTTTCTATCCATTTCATTACTTCTAGTCCTTTTCCTTCCTCCCCTAAAAATTCTTTTAACTGTATCTTGCTTTTTGTCGCTTTACATTTTTTTAGTATATGTTCTATGTTCTCCTCTTCTTTTTGGCATATTCTGCATTTTCTATCCTCTTCCTCTTTTCAATGTTTGCTGCCTTTCTCCTCACTCCCGCATGTGTATCTGGCTTTCAACATTATATCCTTTTTCTTCTTTTTTCCTAGTAAATACTTTGGTAACTCCTCTGTTAAAATCTCTTTATAGTTACTATTGTATCTTGACTCGTTTATCTTTATCTGTCTCTCTTCCTTTTCATCCTTTTCCTTCTCTTTACGAGATTCTCCACCGCCTCTCGGTCCTCTGCTTCCATTTCTCTCCTCTGCTGCTCCTTTTCCATTCCTGCCCTCTCTATCAGTTCTCTTCTTTTTTTCTCCCAATTACTTTCTTTTTTCCTTAGTCTGCTTTTTTCTAGATCCTTTATACATGCTTGAACTATTTTCTTCTCTGACTGTCTCGCCTTCTTTTCATACCTCACAGCTCTCCTTATTGCTCTCATTTTTATCTCCTTTATTCTGGCTTCTTCTGATATTATATAATTCGGGGTTCTTCTACTCAATTCTAAAATCTATTTAATTCAAACTTTCTTTTTATTACATCTAATCTGCTTCTAAAATCTTCTTTAAATATTCTCTCTCCTATGCTCCATGTCTTCTTCATCGCTATTGTAGCCTTCTTTATCCTATCTTTTATATGATTCTCCGCTCCCTCATTTTTCTGTAGTATATATTCCAGATACTTTATTTCTTTGATCTCCTCTATTTCTTCCTCTCTCCACTGCCATTCCCTTTTCTTCCTTCTTTCCCTCGCTTTCTCGAACACCATTATTTTTTATTTTTCTGGACTCAAACTCGAACCCTTCCCTTCCAAATACCTCTTGAACCTCCTCATCATTTCCTTCAATTCCGCTTCTCGTCGCCATTAACACTACATCATCTGCGTATGAAATTGTCCAGAATTTTTCTTTCTCTATCACAAGGCCTCTTGCTTGCCCTTTTTCCATTCTTTCCTCTAAATCCATGATGTATAAATTGAATAAATTCGAGCTCAACGGGCATCCTTGTCTTAGTCCCTTTTCTGTCCAAAATTCCTCTGTATTCTTATCTCTTATCTTCACTACGTTTTTCGTTTCTTTGTATGTCTCCATTATTCTTCGTCTCAAGTTATCTTCAATTCCTATCATCCTCATTATTTTATTCAATTTTCTTCTATCCGCTTTATCGAAAGCTGCCTTAAGGTCCACAAAGAATGCAAAAATCTTTCCACCTTTCTTACTCAGCTCCTTATTTGCTACATAATTTACCGTGTATACTGCATCCATCGTTCTTCTGTTTCTTCTAAACCCGAATTGCCCTTCCCTTAACTTAGACTCCACCTCTTTTTCCAACCTCGCATTTAAGATACTTGCATATATTTTGTACTCCGTATTCATTAAAGTAACTCCTCGGTAATTTTTTGGGTCGTCTCTTTTTCCTCTTTTATGTATTGGACTAATCATATCTTTATTCCAATCTCCCGGTATGCCCTCTCCTTTTCAGATTCTGTTGATTAACTTCAGAAATTCTTCACCTACATCCTTTTGCATAAATCTTCACGCCTCGTTCTCAATCCCGTCCTCTCCTGTTGCCTTTCCCATCTTCAGTTTTCTTATTACTTCAATCACCTTTTCCCTCGATATTTCTCCGACTCCCTTTGTTACCTCCACTCTCGTACCATCTTCTTCCCCTCGTCTTCTATGTCTAGCACCACTCTTTCCTTTGTCCCTCCTAACATTTCCATTCTATGAAGTTGTCTCTCCACTCGTCCATTTGTATCTCCTTGTTTATCCCCTCAGTTTTCTTTTTCCTGTATTTATTTATATACTTCCAAGCTTCCGCTTCGTTTTTAATGTTCCTTATCTTTTCTTCTTCCTCTCTTTCGTGCCTCCCCTTCTGCTCCTTACATCATTCCTTGTGCTCCTTTCTTTCCCTCACATACTCTTCTTTTCCGATCCTTCCTTTCTTCCAATCCCTCATCAGTCGCCTCAATCTTCTTTTCCTTTCCTTCCATTCTTTATTATACCATTCTTTTTTTCCTAATCTCCATGGTATTATTCTTTTCATCTGCTTCGTGATAGCGCTCTTTACTTTTTCTTTCATCTTCTTCCAGATATCTTCTGTATCTATTTGTGTACTTGACCATCCTTCACATTTCTCATGATATTCTCTCTTCCCTTCTTCTGTCCAGTCGCTTCTCTCTAATTCCATTTCTTTCTTCCTTCTTCCTGTCTCCATCACCCGTGGTCCTGTCAACTCCACCTCCAGCGGAACATGATCCGATTCCTTCTTCCACCATATTTATTTCTTCTCCTGCTCTGTCATTCCCTACGACATAGTCTATAACCGATGATCCCAAGTCTCCTATATAAGTCCATCCCCCTTCCCTTCCGAAACTCCCATTTATCATAATATTGCCCATCCTTTTTCTTCTATTTTATCTATTAATATACGTCCCTCTCTATTTACAACTTTATCTACTGACTTTCTGGTCTTGCTCCTCTTTTCTTTTTCTTCCTCCTTATTTATCGGTACTTCTTTGCTTCCCGTCCTCGCGTTGAAATTACCTTCTACTAAGCAACCATTCTTCATTCTTTTCTTGTACTTTTTCCCTTAGTGTTTCCATCGTATCTTCCATTTTTTGACTGTACAACGTGTTTATTCTCCATTTGTTTCCATTATACTCTAGTCTGCTTTCTACCACTTCGTCGCTAATCTCCCTAACCTCTATAAGTTTCAAATTCTTGTTGACTGCTGTTATTATCTCTCCTTTTGCCTTTCCTTTCCTGTGTTCCCTTTTCACTGGTACACAATTCCAAATAAAGCTGGACAATTTATTTTTAACCTTCCTCTATTTATCTTCCTCCGTCCATGTTTCTACTAGTCCTATTACGTCAAAATTCTCCAAATAATCCCATGTTTTATCACATTTATTAATTAGTCCCGCCACGATCCAAAAGCATATCCTTAATCCTCTTCCTTTTTCCGCCTTATTTTCCTCTTCTCTCTCCTCTCTCACTCTCCCTATCTCCTTCTCCCTGTCCTCTCTCTTTTCTACTCTGTCGGAAAAATATCTCTGCTTTCTAGCATTTCGGTGCTTTCATTCCATTTCCTTTCGCAATTGTTAATTCATATTCTTTGATATCCTACCATTGCTTTCTTCCCCTTTTCTCTCTCTGCTTTTACTACACTCCATAGATGCTTTTTTATCCGCCACTCTGTTGCCGTCAGATCGTCATCCATAAATATCTTTCTTGCTTGCTTTTCCTATCTCCTTCCTCTTTGCCATTATTTCTTTTTTATCCTTCCATCTAAATCTGACTAGCGTCATTTTGTATTCTCCCCGGCCAATTACCTGCACTTCGTCCACTTCCACCTTTTTTTTCGGTAATTTTTTCTTCAAGGAATTTCTCCATCTTCTCTTTTCTGTCACCTCCATTTTCTACTTTCATTCCTTTTATAATTATATTACTTTTCCTTCTTCTCCTTTCGGCTAATTCAGAGTTTCTTTCCATCTCCTTCATTTTTTTCATTAGTTCACTGCTCTCCAACTTTTTATCTCCGTTATTCTCCATTTTTTCTACTTTCTTCTCTAACTGTTTTATTCTATTTTCTAAACTCACTTTTTGCTCTTCCCAAAGCATTTCTCTCATTTTATAATTCTCCCTCAGGTCGTGTATCTCTTTCATTATCTCTTCTTTATCCTTCTTTCTTTCTCTCTCTTGTTCATCCATTTTCGCTAAAATCTCTTTCAGCATTTTTTCCGCCTCCATGCCTTCTTCTTTCCTTTCCTCTCTTTTTATCTTGTTTGGCGGCGATCTTATCACTCTTTTTTCTTTACTAAAATTTGCTAGTCTTTCTTTTTCGGCTTTTTCTGCTATTTCTTTTTCTTCCTCCCTTCCTTTTTTCCTTACGTATTCTATAATTGATCCTTGGCTTCCTGTCCTATCTCTTATTCTTAACAGCTCTTCCGCCCTAAACAAATATTTTTATATTACGCAAAAGTTTTTGTTTCTTTTCGTGATTATAATTATTATAACAAATATATGATTGCGGTTATAATATATTTACAAAATATATAAGTATTTATTATAAAAGTTTCTAAATAATAGAGGCTTAAATAAATATTTAGAGCATTAATCTTTCGTATGTATATAAATATATAACTAAACGCAAAGATTTAAATAATTAATCTTTAACTTTGATGGCAATTATATAGCTAGTTTATATTTTGGTGTATTATTTTATAGTGTTTGATCGTACAAATAAAACCATGAATACTATATTCAATTAAGTTATATAATAAGTATATATATATATATACTTATATAATAAGTATATATATATGTATATATATATATATATTGCTCGAGCAATGTCCGTTATTGCCTGGGCAATGTCGACATGCACATATATATGTTTTAATGTTATTATGTATCTATATGTATTATCATATAAAATTTTATATGTATACAGACTTCCTCAAATGATAGTGGTACTAACGATGATTATGATGTTGATGAAGATGTCAATGATGAAGCCATTATTGAAAATGTTAACGTGCCAGAACCTATTGAATAACCTAATCATAATAATAATGATCCAGAACCTGCGATAGAAGATAAGGTTCGTAATCTAGTTGTTATACAGTGTGCTGTCCATAATATGTTAAAATGAAAAAACCACTCGACTGCAAGTGAAAACAGCCTAATAAAAATGATGTCAATATGACGAAAAACAGCATAATAAAAAGAAAATTATGAAATATTTACCTATTTTCAAATTTCAAATGTAAACCCTGAATAGGCAATATGTCACAAATTGAATTATATAATAATGTCTTGTATTTTATTATGTTGTCAGGCTAGAAGACCAATATATCCAAATTGCCCTCTAACAAAGGAAGAAAGCGATCTACTCTTAATGAGTTACATAATTCGGCATGGAGCAAGTGGGACTGCATTGGAAGATCTCATAGATTTAATTAATTGACACTTTCCCGAACCACTATCTTTCTTCAAAGTATTTATTTTTAAAAAAGTTTCTCGACATCGCACAACTTGTTACATGTTATTATTGTACAGGATGTATTTCTTTATTAGATATTTTAAAGGAAGACAAAGTATAAATTGTCCAAATTGTCATTGTCGTAATACAGAATCAGTTCTTAAACGGAATGGAAATTTTTTCGTATACATTCCAATTAAGGAACAGTTACGACAGTTACTGTCGAATAGTGTCTTCCATAAATTACAAAGAACTTGTAATGATAATAATTTATTATCAGATGTTACAAGTAGGAAAGTGTATCGCTCGATGGTTGAAAATCAAGTTATATCTGATTTCGATATAACCTTACAATGGAACACTGATGGTGTTAATACTTTTAAATCATCAAAAGTATCAATGTGCCCCATTCTAATAACGATTAATGAACTTTCTTACCGGGTTCGTAAAGATAATATTCTACTTGCTGGTTTATGGTGTGGATCTATAAAACCTGTTGTAGATATTTTTTTAAAACCATTTGTTGATGAGTTACGAGATTTACATAAACACGGAATTGACTGTTTGCCACCTAACTTGAATGAAGCTGTAAATATTAAAGTGCATGCAATCCTTTCTCCAGTGGATTCTATAGCCAGATGTTCTTTACAGAATATAGCTCAATTTAATGGAAAATTTGAATGCTCACTTTGTTTGCATCTAGGGCAGCACGTTAAAGTGGGAAATGGTTATGCACGTGTTTACTGTGGAAATGAAGGCATTGCAAGAACGAGGGAACAACATCATAGAGATGCTGAGCAGGCTGTTGTAAAAAATATTTCTATTAATGGAGTTAAAGGAGTCTCATTATTAATGTTATTGACAACCTTTAATATTGTAGTTTCATTTCCTCCTGAATACATGCATGCAGTATTACTTGGAGTTGTAAAATATTTTTTCTTTATGTGGTTTGATCCTAAATATAACCAGTGCACATGGTATATAGGTTCGAAAAAATCGATTTTCAATGATCGACTGCTAAATATTTGTCCTCCTTGTGAATTAACTCGGACACCACGCGCGCTTGAAAATATGAAATTATATAAAGCATCAGAGTGGAAAAATTTACTACTGTATTACTCGTTACCGTGCTTACAAGGATTACTGCCTAATAGGTACTTTAAACATTTCATTGCTTGTTTTTAATATGCATAAATTTTTATCAGATGAAATAACCAAAAAAGATTTTGAAGATGCCGAAAAAGCATTAAGAAAGTTTGTGTTTGAAGTGGAAACGTTGTACGGAAAACAACATATGAAGTTTAATGTGCATTTACTACTTCATATACCAAAAAGTGTGAAATTGTTTGGCGCTATTTGGGCATGGTCCGCTTTTCCATTTGAAAGTTACAATCGTGTGCTTCGAAATATGATTTATAACTCTCAATTTGTAATACTACAAGTATGCAACTCCTACCTACGATTGCAACAAATTAAGAATTGTATTATTTTCAAAAAAAAAAAAAAATTGTAGTGTAGAAGGTAAACATTTGTACAATTGTTTGGTCGGAAAAATAAAATTAAGCAGTAATAAAAGTGTATCAGATGAAGGGTATTTACGTATTTTCGGAGCGGGGAAAAAAATCCATTTGGATTTAATCCAAATCACTGCAATTCAGAGACTGATGAATCAAAACATTGAGCGTGATAATATCTACAGTTTTCAACGATTTATTTACAAAAATATTCTTTATCATACATGCAATTATTTTAGAATGTATAAGCGTAATAATAGCGTTGTTAAATTAAATAATGGCGGTTTTATAAGCATTAAATATATATTGCGTATTTCAACTACGGTTGGCATTAATAATATAAAAAAGTACGTTATTATAGGGCAGTCCTATCGACCCATTAAAGATACAATATGTAGAAAGGGAGATGTATCATCTTCTAGTTATTCATGTACAGCATTTAACGAATGTTATTGTAGCATGTTACGCCACAGATATTTTACGAAAATGTATTGTAATTCCTTATAATTGTTGGATATTATCTTGGATGTGCGCAGGTGTCGAGAAATTGGAATTAGCTGAATAATAAAGAACACAACTTTAATCTAATATAATTGGAATCAGTATTACATTGTCACGCTCGCATGTCTTCTCACGAACGCTACCAAAAGACGAGAGTGATAGGCGGGAGTTTTTGGCGCGCGCTAAAAAGAATACCAACCGAAAAATACTACTACGAGACGTGCGCGTGTGATTGTGAGCGCCGCTGCGCCCAAACGAATCTTATTGGATATAATCACTAGAAACGCGCGCTTATTTAAACACGAAAACTAAAATCTATAGAAACTTAACAATAATGATAAGCATTATATAATACCTATAGTTAATAGAGTTGAAACGAATTAATATGTACAAAAATAAATAATAAAATCGGTTATATTTATGATCATATTTTATTACTATTACATTAAATAATAAACTTTTATTTATAATCAATTAGAATCAAAAGCCATGCGATCCAAGCTTAGGTTTTTGACAGCCTTATATTAGTTACTGCATACATATATGTCTATATATATACATATAATTTTTCCAACAAACTGCGCGCCGATTATTTGTCGGACTTAAAACACAGTAATTGTTAGAATTAAAAACCCTTCCCTCCCCGGAATTAAATCGACTTGATTTAATTATCTAAAAACTGTAAAGAAAATTTATTGCGAAAAATATTACCTCAGCCAGGGTTCGAACCTGGAACCTCCCTCATTCCGTGTAGGGCGTCGTACCAAATAATTTTCGCAATAAATTTTGTTGGAAAAATTATATGTATATATATAGACATATATGTATACAGTAACTAATATAAGGCTGTCAAAGACCTAAGCTTGGATCGCATGGCTTTTGATTCTAATTGATTGTATATCGTTACGATCCTATTTCTCTTATTTTTATTTATAACATCTAAAAAAAACTCTCTCTTAAATATATAAAAATTTAATTTAATAAATAGTCTATACAAAAATAATGGGACTATTTATATTCGCTCTAGATGTACTTGTGCTCGTTTTTTATTTCTGATTAAACTCGAGTTTTGCTCGCGTTTTGATTGTCATTATCCTGCGAGCTCTAATTGTACAGAGATTTTTCATTATTTAAATATTAGAAACGGCCACATTACGTGCTATTAATAGGTGTATATTTATTAAAACCAATTTAACAACGAATGTGTTCGCAATATAAAAACAACGTCGACGTTTCGAGCCTTACTTGGCCTTCTTCAGAACAAACCGCATAATTCCAATTTAATCGTTTCCTAAATTTTAACGCATCAAGTCACACTAAAAAGGACTGAGAATGCGCAACCGTCGCAACATGTAAAAGGTCAAACACCTCAGATATTTGTCAAATGTATATTGTCGGTCGTCTCCTCCGCCGCAAGAACAAGGCGAACGTCCGTGATGTCCCTGCATTCGCGAATCTTTATGTCACCCGACCGTCTTAATGGCAACTGAACACAGTAGTTAGAAGAGGATCCATGGGGTCTCCCATATAGGCTGGTTATGAATAAGCTTAGGCCTTGGGCGCCCCCTACGACAAAGTCACTCGATCCCCAGTTCCTCGACAAGGTGGTGCAGACTCTCTTCCCACCGGAGGAAGTGGGTTGGGAGCAAGAGTTCCGCACCGAAGAAAACGGTGCAGACAAATAGAACGAGGAGGAGCTGGGGGTGACTCAAAAGGAGCTCTAACGAGTCGTCAGGAAACTCCGGGGAAAAAGGCGGAGTGTTGCTTGGTACATCTTTTGACATTACTAATGCTTTTAACACCCTGCTTTGGCCCGTAATAGGAAGGGCACTCAAGTATCACAATGTCCCTTCCTTTCTAATACGGGTCATTTTTAGCTAATTTAGGGACAGGAGAGTGGCCTATATGGACAAAGTTGGTGTGTGGAAGGTGAGACTCATTACCCGGGGAGTACCACAAGGCTCAATATTAGGCCCGTTATTGTGGCTCCTCTGGTACGACTCCGTACTACGGCTTGCCCTTCCCCTCCTGGGTCACCGGATACGCCGATGACACTTTCTTGGGAGTTGAGGGGGAAACCTGGGAGTAGGCCAGGTTACTGGCCAACATAGGGGGTCTGCGTGGTGCGCGCCATAAAGAGCTTTGGGTTAAAGGTGGCTCCACAAAAAAATCAGGCGGCCTTCTTCTACCGCCTGAGGGGGAAGCCACCCGAGGGAATAGCCCTTTCGGTAGATGGCGTCCGCGTCCCCATAGGGACCAAGATCAAACTACTTGGTCTCTGGCTGGACTGTACATGGAGTTTCGGCGAGCACATAGTCAGCGTTGCCCCCAGGGCTAAGGCGGTGGCAAACATCCTCTGTCGCCTTATGTCCAATCTCAAAGGGGTAGGCAACAGGGCTTGCCGACTCTACGTGGGAGTAGTGCATTTGATCGCCCTATACGGGGCACCGATCTGGGCCCCGAAAATGATGGCTACCGAGCGCCTAAGAGCACCCATGCGCAAGGTGCAGAGGCAGGTGGCCATTAGGGCGGTAAGAGGGTATCGCACCATCTCCCACGCGGCAGCTTCGACTCTGGCCGGGATTCCGCCCATCGAGCTTCTGGTCGATAAATTCGCCAATGTTTTCTGACAAACACGGGAGGTCCAGGCGGGGGGCGTGATAATCGCGGCCAGAGTCAAAGCGGCGATACGCCAAGAAGCTGCGATGGCCCTCCTCGCCAAATGGCAAGACTATCTCGAGAACCCTGCGTTTTCGGACAGGAGGGTCGTCGAAGCCGTTCGGTCATGCCTGGAGGCATGGACAAACAGGCGGGGACGCGGACTAACGTTTCACATGACACAGGTGTTCACCGAACACGGCTGCTTCGGTGAGTACCTGTGTCGCATTGGTAAGGAAGGCATCACATTGCGGAGAAGATATGGACTCGGCGCAGCATGCTGGCACACTGTCCAGCGTGGGCAGAAGAGCGCCGAGTTCTCCGCACAAACATAGGGCAAGATCTGTCCCTCCCGGCCCTAGTGGCAGCGATGGTCGAGGCAGAGGAAAAATGGCGAGCCATGGCGGAGTTTTGTGGCGCCGTCATGGCCGCCAAGGAGGAAGCGGAAAAAATCCGCCGCGGGGAACGACCCGCGCCGGATCAGGCTGACAATGGAGGCGGGGGAGTTTTCGCGCGGCCGCGGGGACTGCCTCCTCACGGTCGTAGACGGAGACCCCCCGATTCTGCACTCCAACAGTTGGGAGATGTGGGATAGCATCGAAAATAAGGGGGCGAGGAGAAGAGAACGCGTCCTTCTCCTTAAAGTAACGCCCTCCCTACTCCCTCTCCCCTTCGGGGGAGAGGAATTCGGAGCCGAAAGGGAGAGCTCCGGACGACAAGATCACGAAGTCTTGCCTTCGGGGTCCGAAACTGCTCGCCCATCCGACGCTGGGCGAGTTTAGCCGGTAACAGCCCCTGGCTAGCCACTGGTGGCCACTCCCCGCCACAGTTAGATCATTTCCAACCAGGAAACCCCCCCGGTCATAACCTTCGGGAAAGGGAAGGTGCGCAACTAGCGCAGGGCGGCGGGTGCCTCGGAAATCATGATTAAGTTCGTTTCTGAGGCATCCGCCACAACGCCAGAACGGGCCACTCGCGGGGGTTTTTAGTGGGTAGGCTGCGCGCGTTTGCCGTCTTTGGGCGGTGGGCGCACGTGGAATCCCACACTCCCCTCGTCTTCTCTCCGGAGCCGCGGAGGCGAGGGGGTCTTACCCTTTGGGGGCTACTGGGCAAACCAGGCTCTTTACGGGTCTGGGATCCCAGTAAATGGAAATTTCCCCCGCGTTACAAAAAAAACCGGGCAGTTTGGGGAAGGAGCCGGATAAGGCCCAATCACAAGCTGGTAATAACGGGAATAGGAAGTTTAGTGGAGCGGCGCGCCGTCGTTACAAAAAACAGAAACAGATGGAAAGGAGGAGCGGCGCTGAAAAGCCTGCTCCAGAAACTCTGCTTTTGACAGGGGAGCGAGCATCCGCTGGGTCGTGCAAGCGGCTCAAATCGGAACAGAGCACAGCCAGTTCTTCCAGCACTGCACAGCTGGGCAAGAAGCCTAAGATTGCTGTAGATCAGAGGACTTTTGCCCACACAACATTCGGCCGAGTTAGGGTGGCCATGGTACCTATGGAGTATCCTGAACGTAGGCTGGACGACAAAGAAGCTGCTCTCTTGAAGGAAAAGGTGAGGGGTAGTATCTTTGGCATTGCGAAGGGCACTAAAGCTCCCACCTTCAAGGGCACCTCAGATAGGGACGGTGCAGTTATCTTTAACTGCACCAATACAGAAACCGAAGGGTAGTTTGAGCCTAACTTCGGTAATAGATTTAGACGAAGTTCGGCTGCGTGCGCTGCGACTCGATAAACTGCCTAGGCAACATCGAGTTGTAGTGCATGTGGAGGACCCCATGCCTGTCAAAGAAGCGATAGAGCTACTTGATAGGCAGAACGACGAGGAACTCCAAGCCGCGGATTGGGTGGTCGGGTTCTAGGAAGAAATCTCCCCGGAAAAATCCTCCCCGGAAATAAGTTCCCGGGAATATCTCCCCGGAAAAAATCTCCCCCGGAAAAAGTCTCCCCCGGAAGAAATCTTCCCCGGAAAAAATCTCCCCCGGAAAAAATCTCCCCCGGAAGAAATCTCCCCCGGAAAAAATCTCCCCATTTAAAATTCCAGTACTACTGTATTTCAAATTAAAATGGCATTTTTAAAAGCCGTTACACTAAACTGTGCGACTTTATTTGATGCTTGTATATGTTATTATTCGGAACCGTCAACTGATTGTACTGTGTTTAGACTACTACTAGAATTTCCCGAGTGTGAAATCAAAGAGTGTTTATTCCATTTCGGTCAAGCACTTTGGCGTAGTATACAAGATCACGACCTTGCGCCATTGTACCGCGAGAGCAGCCGCGTAGCTCGTAATTTGCGAATGTTATTCGCAGTGGCATTCGTTCCTTTCTGCGATGTCACTTACGCGTACGATGCTTTGCTGCAGTCGAAATTTTTCACGGATAATGAGAAAGATTTGAGAACGGTTCGCGTGGAAAGTGTATGCGTGAACTATTTCGGGACTACCGCACCTCCCCCGAAAGCACGGGGGGGGGGTGTGTGCGTGAACCTCGGTTCGCGTGGAAAGTGTATGCGTGAACTATTGCGTGAACTATGCGTGGAGGCAGTAGGTTCCGCCCCCCTACGGGGGGCTCCACTATCATTAAACTATACACATAGTGTGCCTTGCGAAGTACGTGCGTGGGCTTTTCACACGTGGAAAGTTGTAAACCCATGTGGCACCTCGGTTTTTGCTGGGCACGGAAATTTTTTCCGGGAGAGATATTTTCCGGGGGAGATTTTTTCCGGGGGAGATTTTTTCCGGGGGAGATTTTTTGATAGGGAGATTTTTTCCGGAGAGATTTTTTCTGGAAACTGATTTCCGGGAGATTTTTTCCGGGAAACAAAACGTCGGTTACGGGTGGTCGCAAGGGGCAGCAAAAGTAGGGGTGCTGCGAGCACCAACTTCGCTGCTCTTATTGGGGAGGGAGGGTTGAGGGCTTTTTTTACGAAAAGAAATCCACACGGATACCCCCGCTTCTGGGGCGGGGCGGGCGGTTATGTTGGACTTTAATTAACTAAAACCTCTTTGGGTGCCCCTCACGGCGCTGTGTAGGGGAGGCCCCGGAAAAACATCTAAGATCCGTCTGTGAGGCTTCCCACGCCATGTGCCCTGTCGGGTTTAACTAACTTGTGGCGGGTAGGTGACATCACTCTTACCCGTTACTTTCCTCCGGGGTTGCTTTCGCACGGGCGGATTGCGGCGATCCCCGACTACACGCCCGCCCCCGGGCGAGTAAGGGAAGGAGTGACCATCACCGAAGTAATAGGCTTCTTCCCTCGCGCCTTCGCTTAGAAGGCAGATGGGGCCAGGACTCAGAAGCGTTTCTCGCCACCCCCGAGCCCTAGCCCCAACCCTCCGCGGCTCGGGGAGAGCGCTTGTGGCGCAGACCCCATGGGGAATCCGCCCGAGCCCCCCCCTTTCCGGACAGCCCACGCCGACCGAGGTTGGCCCGACGGGCGACGGGGGGACGGGCCCTAAGGCTCAGGGCCCGTCCCCCCGTCGCCCGTCCACTTCTCCCGCGGAGTATGTCCGCGTGGGGGGAGGAAAAACCGCCGCCCGGAAACTTCATCCCGGATCTTGTGGCGGCCCTCGTCCTTCCACTTTCTTGGCGCTAGCACACCCCCTTCCCCAGCCGATGCTCAGCTGGCATCCCCAAGTTTGCGCACAGCGGACACCTCGGGGAAACCGCAGAGCAAAGACCGGCCCTGTGGCCTCTTTCCTTGCACCGATAACACATATCGGAACGGTCCACAGGGGAGGTGCATGTCAGCCAGACATGTCCGACTTGTAGACATTTGAAACACCTTAAGGGGCGGGGTGGCAACACCTCGGCATGAGCCCTACACTACTCAACCAGGACCCCGCCGCTCCTCACCGCTGCATTTGCGGCCTCAACCAAGCACTGAGTCCAAACGGAGCTCAAGCCTCGCGGTGACTTCCGCACTGTTCCTACGCGGATCTCGTTGACTCCGCACCCACCGGCACGAGCCAGCGCCCTCGCTACGTCCGCAGACGTCGCGGAGTTATCCAGCCCCCCAACGCGCATTTCTACGCGCTTGGTGGGCCGGGTGACTCGTATTTCTTCCCTTCTTCCGGTATTTTTCTTAACACTCCCTAAAGAAGGAGGGGTAATCTTACCTCCCCTTTGCCCATCCGTCAAACACCTCTGTCCCTTGTTTGTCTCTCACGGTCACCGGGATCATTTTCTTAGCTTTCTTTAATGAAAGCACCTCCTTTAGTAGTACTTCCGTTTCATATAGGTAAAGCGAGCCTCCAAATTCGTTTCTTTTCTCCCTGGTAATTCCTCTATATGTACAGATCTCTCCCTAGACTCCGCATCCTTGGGCAGAACAACCACTTCCATTGGAGTTGGTTCAGAAGAGCGAATCTTCTCTTCCGTAACCAACTTATCCTCCAAAACCTTTACCTTAGACCGTAGTTCGGTTACCTCCTTTTCTAATTCTTCCTTTCGTCGGAGGGCTCCATCTAGATCGTCATCCAAGCCACATAGTCTTTTATACATCTCCTGTAACACTTCCACTACGACATAGGCGTAAGTCTCAGCCTCTTTGTCCCGCTCCCCGTCGTTGTACGGGGCCGCGAGATGGTCATAAAGAAATGACTTTCCTCTAGTTAATAACTCCTCATCTTCAAGCTCCCTAACCTTTTTTCTTATAGGGCCGGGATGCTCAAATAACTCTTCCTTGGGTCTATCCTTTATCAGCGAGGCCTTCGCACAGATACTTTCAAAAATATTCTGGTTTTTCTCCTTCCTCTTCTCAAACTTCTCATCTGTCATTGCCTCAATGTCGGAGTGAGAAAGACACATCCTTCTTTTTTTTATGTCCTCACCGTCCGTATTTACACTCATCTCTTTTTGAGGATTCGTTGTACTAATAGCCATCGTTTTCTTTGCAACGTTCTTCGTAATTTTCGTGCTGATTATCAGTTTTTAAACCCCAACTCGCTGCGGCTCCGCCAGCCATG